GACTTTTTGGAGAGGTTCTCACCGAAAGATGACTACCCCTAAAACTAATGATATTTTCCCAAACTGAAACGGTAGCCATTTTGAATAAGGAATCCCTCCACAACATGGCTAAATAGTGCCACTTCAGAACCAATTGCATCCAAAAAGCCCCAAGTCCAGGCCGCGAATTTTCTTTTCCCAGACGACATCCGCATACATGGTTATTTAGCGCCTTCTACGATACTTTTATGATACGTACCCAGGTATATTAATTTTTTTCCCCCAGGTTTTGGCGAGCAGTGCGATAGCTCAGTCGGTACAGGGTCTTGATTTTTGCACCGCGAGGTTGCGGGTTCGAAACACCGTTTTGCACCCGACATTTTTTTTCTTTTCTAATCTGAGGCTTCGGAGGATTTTTTTTAAAAAGGGAAATAAAGTCCCAATTTGAAAACGTTCAAATTCTTTCTTTTTTTCTTAATTTTATATTTTCTTCTCATGTTTTTAGAAAAGTTAAGTCCAAAACGCCATAGCGTACACCCATATGCGGATGTCGTTTGGGAGAAAAAAAAATTTGCGTCCAGGCCAGAGGTGCGGTGCCATATTCTTCAATCCCCCAATTCCATGGCTCTCAGAACAATACCGGTACTATGATATGAATGTACAATTAATCATGAGCTTGGCGGACAGATTTGGTTCCACCCCGGAGACATTTGTGTTCTCTTGAAGTTGAAGATGTTGGATACAAACCTAACTTGGTGTTGGCAAAAGTCCCTTAAAATGATTGAACCTGTTTATTTCATTTTGTTTTCCTATAAAGAGTAGACGATGACACCCGTTTTTTTTTTTAAGGCGACTTATAAAAACTGTCTTCATTGTTCATACAGTGTACATTGTACATGATGTTAAAATTGTACATGCACAGTCATCCTCGTGAAAAACTGCGCTGTACTAACATTCTTTGATGTACTTGCAAGCATTAGGGCCCTACCTACTTTTAGTCGAAATCAGAATTACACGTTGCAGCATGCAACATCTGCACAACGTCAGGCTTGTTTTGAATATTTTTTCTTTTTTTGGGTATGTTTCGGAGTTCAGGGAATCTAAGGTCCAAACAAAAAAATAGCTCTATTTCCGGTTACCCTATCTATCCTTTTTGGACAGCCCCTACCCTAATTTTTTTATGAGGAAAAATGAGGGAAAATCCCCAAAAATGATTTATTACTACCTTTTACCCTTGACTACACACAGAAAAAATATGACTGTACACAAAAAAAATTGCCAAAAAAAAATCCGTACACCTACATATTTTCAAATTCAGTGTAATCGGAAGCAGATTTTTTTTGGGGGGGGGGATGCCGGGGCCTAATACAAAGCCAAAATCCTTTTGAAAATATGGTCACAGACAAATAGTGCCTACAATAAAGAAGACAAAAACATGGAGCTAGCAATTAGGCCAAAACAAAAAAGTCTCCGGTTTCTGGTATGGAGCTTGCCCAAAAAGTGGTGCAGCGACGCGGCTTTTTTTTTTTTTTTTAACCTGATTTTTTGCTTCAAATGTCGGCTGATGACTGCAAAGGGTACCCGACTAAACTTACCGGTAGTGCAAATATATGGGAGTCCAGAGAGGCCACATAAAGCTTATTCTCGACCATAACCTAATCTAAAAAAACGTTAAAATTGTGCAGCAGCAGGATTCCAGTCAAACCAGTGAGTTTGGTGGTTTTGAGACATCTTTCATTGAAAAAAAAACTGTTTACGCGCGCGCATACCAAAAACCGGAGACTTTTTTTTTTTGGCCTTAGGTACATGGTACATGTATTTGTAATCCCCAAGCAGTTTGGAATGTTCAGTAAAATATTGTTCCTTACCACTTGAACTTTTGAGTGTGCTTTTGTAACGCTAGAAGAAAGCCGTTGCCATAGATATTGTGTGTACAAAGTGAGGTTACCATGTCACTGTCTGTTGTGGTGTTTGTGTAATTCTAATCTCCCGGATCCAATTTGTTCCCCAATAGGATGTATTCTCTCTTTCTTTTCTTATTCAGTGAACCGCAAAGTGAACTTGAATCGATGAAAGCCTCAAGTGGTCTCAAGTTTTACATTGTCTGTTCCACGTAGGGTTCCCATGAATCAACTTGATATGTAGCCCTCAATTATAGTCTTACTTTTTTTCGTTATTTTCCCCCTAGTTTGTATGCCTCAAACTACATGTACTGGTATGGTGGCCCTCAAAGCACACCGTGATCATCACACTGTTTCACAACTTTGCAGATTTCTTCACATCAGCAAATAAATTTGCAAGAATCAATGTCAAACCCGGGCAAAATACATGTAGCCAAATAAAAGGCCGAGAGAACTCGAGTTTCTTAACTATATTACAGAATCTTACAATGTACCAATGTGATGCGATCAAGCTAAATGAGTCGTTTGTCGGGAATTTTCATTCGGAGATTCAGGCCAAAATAGGAGTACTTCATCACAACACTTCATCACATCTTTTGGTGTCCCGACTTCCACAATTGTGACCTGTTCTGTCAAAATCAGACTTTTCTGTTACTGGGCATAAGGTCAACAAAGAGATTTTTGCATACTGTTAAAATATGTTCTTTTTCCTTTTAATAGGTGGTTTAAGTTTTGAAACAGGTCATTCCTGGGCAGAGTTATGCTATTTTCAAAATAGCAAAACTGTGTCGAAAAGTAGAGAACGGAGAAAATGGCCACAAGCGTCACAAAACAGTAATTTCTTTAACTGATAAACCTTAACAAATCATCAAAAATTCTATATTTAGAGTTCAAATTAGGGTTTCAAACTCTTATAGTGTATTTTAGACATGTTCAGGATAACAAATATGCAAAAATGTGAAAATCGAACAAAATCACCCCCACAGCGTTTTTTGGGCCTTATCTTAATATCAACCTCGGCCCAGAAGTGTCTGCTTTTGACAGAACAGGTCACAATTTTTGAACTACATAATTCAAAGATGGTATCAGCATGTGGTTTTCATACATGTAGCAGAAATGCTGAGATTGTGCTCTTTTCAAGTCTGTAAAAAAAACTGACCAGGGTCAACAAACGACTCCTTTAGCTTGATCGCATCACAAATTACAAGAAAGTTGTTTGGATTTTGGTTGAAGGTATCTAATCAGTAATACTTTTACAGGTGGATATCATTTTATGTTTTTCAAACGTTTCATTTAAAAGGAAAGTGCTATTGGGACTGTTCACAATGTTGAATTTGAGCGAATTCAAAACTTTCCTGGGCAAAATGCAGAGCAAGTTACGCCTAACAAAGATGTGTTACCAGAGCACTCGATGTGCATTGACAAAACGTGAGGGGAAAAACCAACAACAGTAGCCCACCAGCACAACCGCTTTGTTGTTGTGCTTGTTTGCCCCAAATGCCTTGTCCGTTTCCCGGTGTTTTAACACTTGAACTGTTCCGAACATTTTTTGTTGTCCATCTCTTGCAGCTATCGTTGTCCTGTCATTGAGTATAATAGTGAACACACATTGCACAGCCATCCACTCAATCCAGCCCCCAATCGCCGTCAGCATCAAGTAGCCATTGACACGGTGCCGGCAACGAGCCACTTGATCCACTTTTAATTCCCCCTAAGAGGCTTTCGAGTTTCAAAAGTAGGCCAGGGCTTTTCAAGGGCCTATAGCATTTTTAAAAAGCGTAGAGAAAGTCTAAAGGCAGTGAATCTCTTATGGTGTGAAAGAAACAAATCCGGAGCTTTTTAGAGCTCCAATCAACTATCACTTCTTCTCTAGTAAAGAAAATTACCTATTAACTGTATTTAATTTAAGCATCGTGGTTTGCCGGCATGACCCAAGAAATTGGTGTAACGTATACATGTACCAGTAGCTCCATGGTGTAACTGATGCAGCATTTTGTGTTTTTGTAAAGGTGGGTGACTTTTGTTCCCTGAGAACATTGTTTTGTAACTATATCTGGGTACAATTGGTACACAAGTAGATTTACGTATAGGCCTTCATCAATGCCCTACATGTACATGTATGTGCGTAGACTAATGTGCATGGTCACTCTGGTAAATGATCCTTCTGGTAATATTCTGATGTAACTTAAAGGGAAGATACAACATTTGCAAACATCAAAAAATGAAATGATCAAATTATCACGAAATACCTTACTGAATTGTTAGGGACTGACAGTCAAAAGCATCCTTGAAAATCGTGGCGCCTGGTGTGCTGACATTTTCAAGAAACACTGTATTTTTCCAATGCTGGTCGGCCGACCAGCGTTGGCGAAAACTGGCTTTTTTCAAAATTTGTTCGTAATTGTTCATATTTAGTTATTCTGACTTTTCTTTGCAATTGATTACACACTGTGAAGGGGTACAAACCTGCTGAACTGATTCTCTGACTTCACAATTCCCCAAAGTGTATTAATTGCTCCGTTTCATCTTAAGTGTTTGAGACAATGAAAATATATTGCAGTTCAAGAGCTTCATAAGACATCCAGAGATGCAATTTTCCTGACGTTAATCGGAATTCTGACTTTTCCAAATTTCATTTCGATATTCCAATTTTTCTGATGATCTTTTCCCAGTATAAAGTCTGATTTTTACAAAATTAATTTTCGTTTGATCTAAAATATAAAAACGAAGTTGGTGTCTGGAAATTGGGCACAGAGTTTATTGTACAATGTACGTGTATAAGTGCAGTGAGGCCCAGATTTTGGACATGCTTTTTCGTTCGGACCACCAGCCTATTTCCGAATTTTTCACATACATGTACATGTAGGCCAGTTTCATCTCTGAACAACGTTGTCTCCAAGGTGCCAGTTGACGTTGAAATGTTTTTTTTAAGTTGTCAGAATTTTCATAATAACATGCAAACATTGTGGACAGACTTTGCTAAGTTTATTCTTTGCATGGAATGATGCAATTTGCCCAACTCGCGTCTCAAGTAAACGGCGAGCAATAATAGTTTTAGTTACAAATGGCATCACACTGTAGTATTCCTCTCTCAGTCAACTTTTTGTAACGATTTCCCAGGGTTTTTGTAATGGTGGAAAAGACACGCTGAGAGGGGCTGACAACTCAACGCAGATATAACGTCGGCGTCATGTCGCGCAACAGCCAAGAGAAGCCCTCGCGCACCGTGCGACACACACGCATCGATGACGAGTCGGTCATTGAGAAGGTCTACACCATCGGCGAGAAACTCGGAGCTGGAAGCTTTGGCGTGGTGCTGGAAGCCACGCACAATGAGACCAAGGAGAAATGGGCCATCAAAATTGTCAACAAGGAAAAGGTACTTCTGACTCAATATATTGTCGAATCCTTACTCCCCCCCCCCCCCCCCCCACCCTTGTGGTAGTTTGATGAGCTTGGAACTGTTATTAAGCCCAGTCATAAAGTAATCTACCGGTAAGTGACTGACCTTTTTTTGGCTTAATGACTAAACGTTATGGCATAGTAATACATCATTGAATGGCATAATGACTGTGTTTTCTGCATTAGGCCGGCAATTCAGCTGTGAAGATCTTCTAGCAGTTTGTCGCTATCTGTTTATTACAAAACAACTCGGTAGCATTGTAATACGACAGTTAATCCAAATAAAAGCTTTTAGAGTGGAAATTGGTATCTTAATGCTTTACAAGTACATACATAACCATCTCTTTGGGTATAATGACAAAAGTCACTGGCATTTTAATACACGTTTGTCAAATGACTGTTGTTTCCTATTCATGCTAGTACTGCGGCCAAGTGACTCAATAAAACAGCACTAATCGGTTGGTGGCCTTAAAGCTACAGTCCATCATTTGCAGCTATCCAAAAATGACTGATGTAATTTTTGTTGAAAAACATACTTGGTTGAAAGATAGTAAGGGGACTAAACTCCCTGTGAAATTATTCTTTCTGGCAAGCTGTCATTTTGAAGAAATCATCAAAAGAAGGCCTTTCCAACGGTGCGTCTTAAGACACACTGTTGGAAATTTCCGTTAGTAGTTTGTTTTTTTACAAAAGCGTGCGCAAGCTTTGGCACGACGCACATGCACGCGTGGTTGCTATAATACGTTGATTCAGTGCACGACATCGCATAGCTGCAATCGGCTCAGTGAGAACGTGTCTCGGACGCTGAATTCAGGCCCAATTCAAACCATGATTCAGCAACTTTTGATTTGAAACCGAGATCCTAGAATACTGTTTTTCTGTGAATATACAGCTGAAGCTGAGCTGAAAGTTCATCAGGTTAGCTGTTCAGCACCCTTCTTTAGATTTTTAGATTTGTTGCTTCAAACGAACAAAATGCAGAAATTACAAATGATGGACTATACCTTTAATGACCCTATTTTTTTGGAGTAAAGTGAACAAAGAAAATGACATGAGAGGGATGTGAAGCCCAAACTTCCAGAAGGGTACATATCTCTACTAACTGAAATTTTCAGCGTTACCATATGTTAGCTATGTACATGTTTGTACATGTATCTTCTGATTGTCATATCCCAACGTTACAATGCAACCTTGGAAGCAACTGTCCGATGAATTTTTTTTTCATTGGGAGGATGCCAATTTGATTGCGTTTTGCCCTTCACCGTTATAACGTCATGACTGTTGTTTCCACGTCAGGCCGGCAGTTCAGCTGTCAAGCTCCTGGAGCGAGAAGTAGCCATCCTGAAGAAAGTCCGGCACAAACACATCATTCACCTGGAGGCTGTGTTTGAAACCTCACAGGTTAGTCCAAACATTGCATCACATTTTACTCAGAAAAATCTGGGGAAGTTCAGAAACATTTGGCACAATCAGTCTTTCTGATTTGAAAATCACAGGGGTGTGGAAAAAGGCACACCTGGATTTTTCTAGGCGTGTGATTTTTCTAAGCGTGTGATTTTTCTAGGCGTGTGATTTTTCTAGGCGTGTGATTCTGTGGTCCAAGCTGGCACTGAACAATCTGTTTTTTTCTTCTTCATAATATTCATCTTGGTTTACAATAAAACCATTTTCTCTTCACTGACATGCTTTTATATTTTTCACGAAAAGATTCCCAAATGTGGCCATCACTTGTCACCCTGTGCACAAACCGTATGAGACTGGTCTGAACATTTCTAAGTGTTTTCTCAGTAAATACTGCAATATTTTCCCTGCTAAATTTAACTTTCTAGGACCTATCACTTTCTGATGGCTGATAGGTCACTGAAGGGAAAAATTAGTGATGGCCAGATATGGGAATCTTTCCTTTTTCACAAATTATGAAGTGTAATTATGCTGTAAATGTATGCCGAGGTGTGTGGTACTGAGGATTCAGGCGTGCGATTATTCGCACTTCTCAGGAAGCATTTAGGCGTGTGATGGCGTGGGGGTGTGATCGCACGCCTCAAAATAGAAGGACTGCACAATTTAAGAATGCACTCGGCATTTCCTCAGGTTTTATTCCTTCTTTCCTCTAGTTTCTTTCATTATCATCCAGAAATCAACAACACAATAGAAAGTCATTGTGTACCTGGACTTTTTTCTCCTTACAACCAAATTACATAAAATTTGATTGGCTGTCAGTCTTGGAAAGCGAGTGAGCCTTGGAAAGTCGGGTCACAGTTTCAAAAAATTAAAACTGGTTTATAATAATTATCTTAGTGTTGTTGCCAAGTAATAACAAAGAAACGTGAGAAGAATGACTGAGTTTGCTAAGGACAGGGAGGCCAGGTTTCCAGCTTTTTTTCATGTTTGGGGTAAAAACTCTGGCATTTCATCCCTTCACAGGCCGGAAAATACATCCTTGTCATTTTTCAGCCAATAGAAGAATCCGTTACTCGTTTGATTGTCACTCATGAGCCAATAAGAAAATTAATTACGCGCTACATGTAAATGTGCTAGGATCGTACCAAGTGTCCTCGATCGCGTACACCTGCGGAGTGCGTGTTCCAGAGCACTATGGAAACAGGAGCACAAATTTATTAACCCTAACGTACCTGAATCCTTCAAAATCCACACCCCTGTTTCGGAGGATTTCGGCGGATTTAGGATACCTCCATATTGAAAAAGTTGGGAGGATTTTGATGGATTCAGGATTGTAAGCCTAGCGGTACTGCAGGATTTTGAAGGATTCAGGATACCTCCATATTGTGCAGTTGGAAGACTTTGATGGATTCAGGATCTCAACAGTTGAACTCCTTGGCTATGTATATACGAGGTATATACTGCACTGGTGGATTCTGATGGACTCACTGGTGGATTCTGATGGACTCAGGACACCAACATTTTTTTGCGTGACCAAATTGGTGGATTTTGGCGGATTCAGGATACTTTCTAGTAAAAGTGCTCAAGGGATTAATTAGCAATTCTGTAATCCAATCAGATGAAGAAAAATAAAAAGGGTGAACGGTGAAATATTGTACTTAGCTACCGGTAACAAGTTCTGCATATTTAATTTATTCAAAAGTTTAGTTTTTTACTTTAATTTCTTACATTACATTACATTACATTAATTAGTTTCTTACAATGGCAACCATTTATAAAGGAAACTCAAACACTGTAGACCATATCATGCACATTTCTTAAGAGGGCAATTAAAGGTATCCAACTAACATGAAATGTATTGAACTCTTTTCCCCAGACAAGATAGCAAAGTGCATACAGACAACCGTATCAGACGGACAAAGTGCACACATTTGTTCCATACAAATGGGTCAATTCTCAAGTGGATTTTTAGGAAGTACAACCCATTAGTGCTAAATATGAGTCAGGAATGTTGATAAATCTGCTCGGGGGGAAAACTGGGGGGGAAAAATACAACAAATTAAGCAAAATCGACCTGTGACCCCAACATATATTTCATGAACAAAAACTTTAGTAATGTGTAGTTTCCGTATGAACATGTAGTCTGTCCATCTCTAAGGGAAAAGAAGAATTACGAAAAACAAAAGAATCTTCTTTTTTTACAACATATTTTAAACAAGCTTTATTTTTAACAATTGTGTCTGATTAAAATGTTGGTAATGCATGGTTTATGAATCCTCAACTAATTATGTTTATTTATGCTGTTATCTAAACCTGTCATGATAAAGTATATTTGTGAGTCACTCTGGCAAATGAGGCAGAACTAGGCACAGGCTGTAGTGGAGAAAAATGCACACCAAAAAAAAAATGGGGATGATTTTTTTCCAATTTTCACATTTATTGATATTTGTTATCTCTGATATTTCTACCACATGTATTTTATAGAAATAGTGTAAATTTTGTGGGGGGAAAAGTGTTTTTCAGGAAAAAAGGATTGGTATCTTTCATTTACAAAACTCAAAACTTGTAATGCCCTTTTCTCAGTATTTGTGCTTTTTTTGACATGTCAATAAATGCGAACGTTAAACAGCCATAACTTGTCCACTGAATGTCAGATTGAAGTGCAACGAACAGTATTGTAGGGAGACATTATTCTGTTTCCTAATATCCGTAATTCGACCTCTGCCCAGTTGTATCTCATTTTGCCAGAACGCCTTACACTTGTGTATTAAATAATAAATATGAAAATCTTAACATTTGTCTGAAAAAGTATTTTGATATCTACATGTAAGTTTGAAGGCAAACTCATTCATGCCTACCGGTAAGTTGACTTTTGATGGTCATGGGTTCCAGTCCCAACCAAGTCAGACTTTGAATGTTTTTTCTCAAAAAGTTCCCACAGAGGTTTGAGCATACAATAATTGTACTACCGGTACATGCACATTGCATCAATGAAAGGCATCGTTCACATTTTGTTTTTTTTGGTTGCCTCCCCAGAAAATGTACCTAGTATTTGAGCTGTGCAACGGAGGAGAGATAAGCGATTTATTTAAGGAGAAAGGAGCATTCTCAGAGGAAGACACAAGGACAACCATTAACAGATTGACCAGTACTGTCTCCTATCTACACAAAAATGGTAAGGAACGGCTGAACATTCGGATCTGAGATGCCGATTTCACCTGCCGATGACTAAACCTGGCTAGTCGAAACATTGAGGCCAAAGACAAGTTCTTTTGGAACTGAACAGGACTGTTCTTATCAGAACTAAAAACTACCTAGCGAAAGTTGATAATAAGCAGGACAAGTTCTTTTCAAAACTAAATATCTCCTAAGCAGTAGTTATAACCACATGGTGTTACCGCAAACCGAAACGATGCCGATTTCTCCTGCCGATGACTAAAGCTGGCTAGTCGAAACGTTGAGGCCAAAGACAAGTTGTTTGGGAACTAAACAGGATTATCAGATTTAAAAACTACTTAGCGAAAGTTGATAATAAGCAGGACAAGTTCTTATCAGAACTCATATCTACTGAGCAACAGTAGTTATTTAATACCACATGGTGTTAAAGCAAACCGAAACTATCTGAAACTCCACCATGCAAAGCCTAAAATCTTATATTCATTGATAGTGAAATGGCTAGGCATAGACCAATTCACGGATACCGCCATCTTTGTGGTCACATGTTAATCTGAGATATAGTCTTATCATGCTCCCAATGCAATGGCATGATGTGACGTATTTTCAATGGAATGCCCTCTAAGATGACAACATATCAAAAAGTGACGGTATCCGTGAAACGGTCCGTTGATTATTGGATTAATTTTCAAATACGATGTACATTTGAGGCTTAGGCCTAGTAATATTTTTTATTTGATTGAAAAGAAATACAGTTAGATCAACATGAAAGACAGAAAGATTTGATTCTAGAGTTAGATCAACATGAAAGACAAAAAGATTTGATTCTAGAGTTGTGTTTACATGTTTGCCAATCCTGTTTAATAATTTGTTACATTGTTATTAATACAAGTGAGTAGACAATAAGAAGCTGCACATTTATATTAAAGAAAGATAATGTGTAGGTTCTGTATTGTGAGGACTGCTATATAGTTTCCATTTTGTTGACAAAACGTCCTTCTTTTAACCTAGAAAGAATACTCAAATGTTTGAACGAATGAACATTTGATGATTTGAACATTGAATTAGGCCCAAAAAAATTGTTCTGCTTCCGATTACATGGCATTTGACAAAAGGGTAGGTAGGTATGTAGGGAACTTTTTTTGCCTATTTTTGTGTGTACGATCATGTGGAGGCGTCCGCGTTTAGTCAAGGGTAAAAGGTACACATTGATGGTTTTGGGCGGGTTTTTTTTTGGGGGGGGGGCCTTATTTGCATCAACTTTAATAGCCCGTCGATTATACATACATATCCCATGGCAGCTTTTTCAGCTCAGAATTTCAGCCATTTCTGTGTACATCTGTTTTATTTTTTCATGATGGTTATGTTTATGTTTCTCTCCTTTTTTTTCAGATATTGTGCACAGAGATATAAAACTTGATAATATTCTACTTAGTCGAGACCCAGAGCATGAGGACGATCACCTCAATATCAAGGTATGTACTGCAGTCACTGTGGTTTCCCTTCACAGAACTTAACCCTAACCCCCCTCTGCACCTTGTTGGGAACCATCCTTAACCCTCCCAAATCCTCCAAAATTTCATGTTTCAATGTTGCTTTTCCAAGTGCTACACCAGCTGGAAATCATTGTAAAATTCTTTCATTCTTTTGTCTTGGCAGCTGTCAGATTTTGGCTTGTCCATTCTCAAGGGAAGGGCCGGCAGTGATTCCATGATGCAGACAATGTGTGGCACACCAATGTACATGGGTAAGACTAGATTAAGAATCTTGAATCGCAGTGTACTATTGAGGTTGAAATTGAATCTTAAAATGTAAATTAGAAAAGGTATATTTTTGATGGTCCAAGAGGGGCTAGACTATAGTTCGCTTTCTAACTGACCGATTGACTTACTGACTCAGTCACTGACTGTCTCTTGTGAATAAGCGTTGCTTAGCCCTAAAGGGGCCGGGGGGGGGGGGGGCAGATTCCGCGATAGCCTCAAAAAAAGATATCGCCACCCAAGCTGTTATGACTTTTTAGCCTCGAGCCTTGCACATCTTTTGATACCAAAACCTTAAAAATCGAACCACGGGTTGCAGCGCATCGAAAAAATTTCTGTGAAAACTGAATTTCCCCATATATGTACCTGTAGTGTACACAGAGCAGAATTGCCATTCATGCATATGAATAATAAATTTGCTATAATTCCAAAACCCTTTGACCTATAGTTACAAAATTTCTGGGGTATGTTTATGATAAGTTGTTCTATGCATGTACCGAGTTTCATAATGGTTCGTCACTCGATGGCCGAGATCTTGGGGGGGGGGCAGAATCCCCCCACCCCGGCTGAGAGATGGTCAAAATAACCCAGGCAAAAATTGAATAGCATTTTGTGTGCTCTAGGACCAGCTCTACTTGGCTTACTTTGTCTTGTTTTTCTTGTAATTAGTGCTCTGTGACAGCCAGTGAGAAAAAAAAAAAAATACCTAACGTACTTTTTGGAGCGTGGCCTAATGGGTAGGGCTTGCAGCTTGTTTATAGAATGTAAGGGGTTCCAATCCAGATGCTGGAATTTGATGTCCATGGGCAAGCCACACATACAAATGGACTTGTTCCGTAGTTGTGGGGACCACACGCCAGTTGTTAGATTTTTAAAGAGACCAGAAAAATGTTGTGCGAACAGTTGAAGACCGAAATCTTGGTCAAAATTGTCCTAACGATTGGACCTTTGTTGTGATATGGTCCTGGCAAGGGCACATCTACTTGCTTCTCTCCTGCCAGAAGTACTGGTGTTAGCTGTGGGGCAACCAGCGATGGACTGGCATCCCAGTATTTTCTTGCCAAGTGTACTGGTGACGAATGTCAGCCTGATGAGCCATATTGACTGGAGGCACACTTTACTGTTACTTTACTTATGAACATGTAGGTACTTAAACCTATTAGTCCCTGTACTGCCCAAAAGTGCCCTGCCTGGTACTCTTTATACCGCCCCAAATCTCCATGGTGGTATGGATTCATCAAGGAAGAAATTAACTTTAGTTCAATGTGATACAAGTGCTAATGGGTTGAAAATGGATGACTTATAAGGTGTATTCTCATCTGTATTTTGTTCTTTGTTTTGTGTGTGTAGCACCTGAAGTAATAGACAATCAAGGCTACAGCCAACAATGTGATGTGTGGAGTATAGGTGTTATTGCGTATATGCTGTAAGTATGGACTTGACATCAAAAAATATTTTTTTAAAGGTTGCTTCATACTAACTCCCTAGGCCATGTAGCCTCAATCCTGCAAAATCCTTCAATTTGCCTCATGGAAAACTAGCATAGCCTCAATCCTGCAAATTTCCCCATTTTTTCTTGAATATGGTGTCTGTGGAGGGGTGACCATTGCCTGAATCCTGCAAAATCCTGCGGCAGTGACTGTCAATATGTTGAGGCTTGGCCAGTGACATATTGGAGCAGTACGGAGGATTTCAAGCATATGCATGGCTGAGCAAAAACAACACAAGGTCTGGCCCAAGACCTTGACAAAGTACATCCTACGAAATCAGTAACGCACTTTTGCCATGTAACCTCAATCCTCCAAATTCCCTTCACTCTGGCAAAGAGGATTTTGAAGGATTCAGGGCGGTTAGGGTGCAAACTCACTGCAAAACTTTCCAGAGTTGAAATGTGTTCAACTTTTACGAGTTACAATGTAGCAGCGTGAAACCTTGCCCAGACATGACAGGCTCATGTTTGTGTTCACTTTCGTGCCAAGTATGAACCAACATCACAAGTAATCATGGTTTCATACAGGTATATTGATATGAAGCTGGGTTGTTTAACATCTGTCAGCACTTTCACATTGAAAGGATTTGACTGAAACAAGCAATCAAGTGCTTGCTTTTTTCTTGGTTTTTTTTTTCATTTTTAGCTTTCTTTTCACCTTCAAACCCACAAAATCAGTGGATCTTGTAGTATCCTCCAGTTTTTTTTTTTTATTCCTACAGATTATCTGGATACCCACCCTTCACCGGCCGGGATGAAGACAGTTTATATGAGGCAATCAGAAAAGGAGAATTAGACTTTTCAGGTGCTGTTTGGAAGAAAGTCAGCAGTGAAGGTAACTTTAAACCTCCGGGGAAAAGTAGGCGCAACATTCCTCTCGAGAGGCTTTGCTGACTAAAAGGGAATATACAACATTTTTGGCTGTAATTTTCAGGAATGGATGGATTTAGGGGGTTAGTATTTTATAGCGAATATTGTTACACTGACTCGTTTGAAGTGTTGTGTTTGTAGATACTGGAAAAACCAAGAAAAAAATCATGTTCCTGTTTTCTGGTTCCCTGACCCCACTTAAGATGAAACTGAGAAATTGATAGACGTCTGGGAATTGCGAGGTCAGGGAACCAGTCTAGCTGGCTTGTACCCGTTCATAGGTGTGTGATCGATTGCAAACAAAATGCAGACTAACTAAATATGGTAAACTGGGGGCAGTATTTTTCAAAAGCCAGGTTTTTCCAACGCTGTTCAGCCGACCAGTGTTGGAAATTGATACAAAAATACTACTTTTCTTGAAAATGACAGCACACCAGGTGCCATGACTTTACTGGATGCTTAAGACTGCCAAACGGTATTTCATAATAATTTGGTATTTTTGTTTTTTGATGTTTGCAAATATTGTATATTCCCTTTAACCAAATCCAGATACAGAATGGAAAAGGAAATTTTTTTGGCCAGGGCTGTAGGCCCCATGGAACACAAGGGTCATTTCAAGGATTGCATTTAACAAACAAATCTGTGATATGGGCCCTTTGACTGTTCCACAGCCAAGAATGCCATCCAGGGTTTGCTGACGGTAGACCCAGCCCATCGGCTGACAGCCAGCGAGCTCCTCCACCACCCCTGGATCACGGGGGAGAAAGGCTCGGACAGCGACGGGCCCAAGAACGTCCTGGAGATGATGAAACAGTGGAAGGATGAACTGATGCTGGAAGAGAACGGGCAGGTGGACTCCAACGCCAACATCACCGGGGAGGCCGAGTCAGAAGGAGGGGTTGGAGTCGGAGGAGGGGGGACACACCCCAAGGAGGAGGTGCGATTATGGGTTTGAGAGATGTAGGAACTTAAAGGGAATGTACATCATTGGCTTTTGCTGTAATTTTCAGAAATGAACTATTTGTGGGGTTAGTATAATAGATCAAATATTGTTACACTGACATGTTTAAAGTTTTGTGTTCGAAAATGCTGGGAAAAACCAAGAAAAACAAAAATGTTCAAGTGGTCTGGTTCCTTGACTCCACTAAAGATAAAATGGACCAATTTATAGATGCCGGAAAATTGTAAGGTAAGGGAACCAGTCTAGCTGGCCTACACCCGTAACCAATAGCAAACAAAATTTGGACTGCAAAAAGTGTAAAGTTGGAGCAGTAGTTGAAAAATAGTTAGGTTTTTCCAACGGTGGTCGGCCGACCACCATTGGAAATGTATACAAAAATACCATTTTATTGAAAATGACTTCACACCAGGTGCCATAATTTTACAGGATGCTTTAGACTGTCATTTACCAACATCCTAGTAAGGTATTTCGTAAAAACTTGGTAGTTTTATTTTTCAATGTTTGCAAATGTTGTATATTCCCTTTAAGTTGTAGTCAGGTTCCCACAAGTCAATCACAAAGACAATCACAAGTCATCACTGGTCAATCATAAGTCATCGCAAGGCAATCACAAGACAATCACAAGTGATCATAAGTCAATTACAAGTTAATCACAAGTCAATCTCAAGTGAATCACAAGGCATGCAGTATATTTCCCTTTTTGAGGTACCTGTAGCTGACCAGCAGAAATATAAAAGATTTTTTGAGATGCATTGAGGGCTAATATTCCTCACAGAAGCTCTGAAGTCCAAGTACCTGTCAAACAAAGTGGAGAATTTGTCAGACGAGAAAACCATGCAATGTTTTTCTTGAATATTTGAATCGGAAAAGGCTATTGGGCTTTTTGTTGGATGATTGGAATATTCGGCACACCCTTCCTCCTAATTGTTTACCAAAGCAATTTTGTGGATTGGCAGGCATTGAATAACAGCTGTTTTGATCATTGGAAATAGTTGTTGAGTAAATAGAGGAATCTTAAACTGCAAAAAAAAGAATCTGACATTGACATCGGGCATGACTAGTTTCATTTTGTCTTTTTTTGTCGTTGTTTAAACAGGGTGTAAAACCATCCGAAGATGTCCCGTGTTTAAAGTCAGCCAGTGAAAAGAGCAGTATGTCTTCAAGGAAAACGACACATACATCAAAATCAAGCACATCGAGGAATTCCGTGAGTGAACTCTAAGTTTGAGTAACGGAAATTCAAATTACACTGTAGCACTCAGATGACGCCAAACATAACTCATAATGCTCTTCCCGCTTAGGGGTGCACATCAGGGGCCAATTCATGACGCTGCTAAGCACAACAATTTGTTTAGCACAAAAACAGGCCGGCTTATAAAAGCAGGTTACCAGCCAAAACTGCACGAGATGTATATTGCTCGTGATTAGTATTCAGCTGTTGTTTGCTTAGCATGAAAATCACATGGAGTTTTTGGCTGATAACCTGCTTTTATAAGCCAGACTTTTTTTTGTGCTAAGCAAATTTGTGTGCTTAGCAGCGCCGTGAAATTGGGCCCGGAGCCGGGTACTGTCAGGAACTGGTTCAAGATGATTGGATTTGGGTACCCGCAACCAACTTTACAAATTACTTTAGTAACTTCTTAGACAATGAAAAAGAAAGGTGTTACATGCCATTTGTGGAGAGTTTTTGAAATGAAAACCAGGTTGCATTGAAAACCAAAACAGATTTCACGTTTATGTACATTTTAACGTGCGACAGATGACTCTCGCCAAAAAGTTGCAGTTTACACGATACAGCTGTAAAGCTCTTCAGACACTGCCAATACTCACACTGTTAAGTTTTGTTAAGGGCCAGAGTTCCTGACAATAGAGCAAATTTACCAGGTTGTGGGTTGTTGGTACCCTTCAGTTTGGATAAAACCGTCTTTTACTGGTATTTGGGCACTTGGTTTTACCTCAGTAGGTTACCCGGTACCCTTACTAACCTCAAATACCCACTACTTCCTGCAATGAAGTTATCAGCATTGTTTACACATTTTTAACTTCACTCAGGAAAAATTTGGGCAGTTGTTTATAATCCTCAATTGATAATCCTTCAAAATGTGCCATTTGTGTCCGGCAGAGGTGAGGATTTCGAAGGATTCTGGAAGGTTCCTAGCAAAATTACCAACTATATTATAATTAATATTACTCTTTAAATTTCACTTCTCCCACAGTCGTCAAACGGTTCGCACAGGACCAAAGCGGCCACCTCCACCACGCCCTCCGGCCAGGCTTCCAAGGCCCCGCCCCCACGATCTCGGACAGCCGTACATGTACAGCCACCATCTCAGTCTAAAGCATCTCCGCACAGATCTGGAGAAGTTTCCGCAAGAACGGCCGCCACCAAACCCCGCTCCCCAAAAGCGGCCGCGATCGCCGCGAAATCCAAGCGGAAACCTCCAGTTGGCAGCTGAGACCATTTTTTTTCCCTCCAAAAAAAGCGTCAAACTGAACTTGCTCTGGCAGGTCCTCCGTAAATTTATCATCTAGGAGTCAAGTTTCTTTTTTTTATTAAAGACAGAAAAATATCCAGCTCTTAGATTTGTACACATCATCGAAGACTTATTTATGAAGTAATCAAGATTTGCCTGTAAGCATCTTGGCGATGTGATTACCTGTATGCGCGTATTTATATATTAGGCCACCAGTGGTCGGCTCTTTGATTGCTCAAGTATTCTTGGTAAATATAGCGCCAGCTCATCTTCTGTTTTTTTTTGGCGAAAGCGTAATGAGTATTCCATCCACTGCCTCATCCTTCCTACTGTATTTGATGGTACTCGGATGCATATGGTTCCTGTTCAAATTGGATCCAAGATTTTACTTGTGTGTGTTACGCAGGAGCACACTCAGTCATGTTTGTCTATACGCCCGAGGACAATGCTTTGTGTTTCCCTTTGTCCCTGTAATATAACACTCTTTCATAGACTAAGCACATCACCGTACAATCGGGGATCGTTTCCAACAAAAGACCCAAGGTTCGAGGACTGACAGGATCTTTTGTTCTCCCTTTGTGTGTCTGTCCTCTACTGTATGTACACACATACTTGTTCCGTAGCTGTGGGGACTACACACGAGTTGTCCCATGGTACTATGGGGACTGTGGGGACAGCAGAAAGTCCTCACAACTCGGTCCTAATTTGCCTGACAATTTATTCCCCTTTGTGTGTCTGTCCTCTACTGTACTGTATGTACACACATACTTGTTCCGTAGTTGTGGGGACTACACACGAGTTGTCCCATGGTACTATGGGGACCAAAGACGCTGTAGGGAACGGCAGAAAGTCCCCATAACTCGGTCCTAATTTGCCTGACAATTTATTCCCCTTTGTGTGTCTGTCCTCTACTGTACTGTATGTACACACATGCTTGTTCCGTAGCTGTGGGGACTACACATGAGTTGTCCCATGGTACTATGGGGACCGATGACGCTGTAGGGAACAGCAGAAAGTCCCCACAACTCGGTCCTAATTTGCCTGACAATTTATTCCCCTTTGTGTGTCTGTCCTCTACTGTAAAAATAAAAACTGCCCCATGACGCAGTGACGGCCCGCCCATTGCAACAAGTATTCAAACCAGAGTGAGAAAAGTAATACATGTACACACATGTGTTGATGTCAGTTACATGATCCCTGAAAATGACTATTCACTCATTTAATCGATTGATGAGGACCCAACACCGTTCCTTGATCACCCTTTTTTACTGTAGAGCAATAATGTCATGTGATCTGTACAAATTTGTGGAAACGTCCTTTTTTAAAAATTCTCTAATGATTGGCAGCATCTCAAAGTTAGAGCTTGAAAATGTGGTTAAACGGAAAAAGAAATACAGAAAAATTATCTGTTACCGATTCAGTGTGGTGCCTGTGATGTATCACCCAGCTCTACACTGATCACTGTTTAAGCAGTCTGGGTGTGTGACAAAGATGGCCGAACGGAGGCGGCTGTGGTTTAACACACCAGAAAACATCTGCGTAAACATTCCATTTTGATTTCCTTATCAAGGAAACCAGACAATTATAAAAGAAAATTTAGAATAAAAAAATATGCCTGTATATACTCATTCAAAAAGAAAAGAAGTCTATGGTATGCTATATTATTCTTAAAATTCCGTCCTGAATATTATACAAATATTGAGTGGCTCAGAGTGAAATGGGAGGAATATTGTCGCAAGGTAAAATCTGGACTTTTCCATTTCACGAGGCGAAGGCGAGTGAATTGGAAAAGTCCAGATTTTACCGAGCAATAATATCCCTCCCATTTCACAATTTAAAGCCACTCAATATTTGTTTTATATAACTGACATAAAGATCCTTGTCATTTGATATAGTTGAACTTTTATTTCAATACAAAATCGGTGGAAAATTTATTTCTCTCTTCCAAACCACCCCTTCACGAAAATGTTTTAACCGAACTCTGTAGCACTGGCGTTTTGGAACAATACGCGCTACGCTGAACGCGCACACCGGCATGCATTTTGCACACAAATACCGCGTCATGGAACAAGAATGATCCTAACTGTTCAATAGTATTTCCCTTTCCCCATGGGCGAATGGGACTTTTTGAGCCCCGGCGTGAATGGGAGCAATAACGAATGTCACGTGATGTGAGTTCCACCAATCAAATGACAAGGATCTGTATGTCAATATATAATCTAGACTATTAATTGAGTGTGTCTTAATGAACAGCTATGTATCTATTTTTGTAATGATTATGCAACACTTTCGTTTTGCAAGTATTAATATTTTCTTTCTTTCCTTCTCTTCTGGGGGGAATTGCATATCGGGACAGACTTGATGAATTGAAATGTTAGGTGGGAAAATTACTTTCAACAGTCAAGACAACTTTTGAGAGATGTTTTCCTAACATGATTATGTATGTGAAAATCGCCTTGCTTTCAGTACCTGACGTCTGTTGATAATTCATTGAGTATTGATGGTGATATTGCAGTCAGAATTATAGCATTTTTATGGGTAACTTAAAGAGTTGGCAGCAATAATTTGGCAGAAATTGGTGTGACTAAAGTTCATTGGGAAGTTGTACGATGCATTTTGGGCTAGATTTCACGGCTGTGGTGGAATAAGGATCACCTTAAAATGATTCCAATCAGGCAACTGTTTGTTCACAGGCAAAGTAGTTCGCCATAATCGATCCCTTCATAAATGCAGAAATCGGTATTCGTGTACAGAAGTTCAGAGTCAGTTTTGATATTTATACTGAGTGCTTACAAGCTGCTCTCAGATGCTACTATCCAACAACAACATGCGAATGGGGAGATTGTTTAGGAATTATGCTTTGATTCGCTTCCAGTATTTATATGTCTATGGAATAGACACAGCAAAGGTCTATGATATGCGAGCAGCCTGAGATTCAACGATTAAGTATGCCAAAATAAGACTGCATCTTGACCTCGAGATTCTGACCATTCAGCGGGCGCCTTGTATCGGGTCTCAGCCAAATTGACCAATCAACAGCTTTGTCCACATTTCTGATCGAAATGACTTCACAATTTCTAAAGTCGACTTTGATTGGGAGGGGGGTGCATAAAATTTGCTTTGCTCAGATATAATAAGACCTTGGTTATGGAGAGGGCCCGGTTTGACAACGGGTCATACACAAACTATTTTTTTTATGTGGAAGCTGACAATAAACTTTAATCCTCCCAGATATCTCAAAAGTCCACCAGAAGTTTTGGAGGATGAAGGATGATAGAACCCATCTCCTTATTGTGTTGTTCTTAGGGGCTTGATGCCCCTTGAAATGTATGAAGTCCATGTACCTACATCGTGTGACCATTGGGTTCTTTCAGGTAGATTTTGGAAGATGCATCAGGAAGATTCCAAGTCAAAATGACCAGGTAGTCGGGGTTATTGTTATTCTGCAGGAGGCCATCTTGGTCTACTTGGCTGTAACTGAACTGAGATTTTGTTGAGTGACAGTAGAGTGTTTCATAGAATGTAGTCATTAACAAAACAAAGTCTTATTGGACGACAGCCGTCAGGCTAGAATGATACTCGTGCCAAACTAGGCTGGTACCCCAGTTGCCATTTTGATCCATCTCAGAGTGTACTGTCAGTGATGGGACACCGGACCAAGATGGCGACTACAGTTATAATGCTTGACATCAAATAATTATACAGTAATAATAGACTGGTATATTTGGTGAGGCTAGTGACAATATGAAATATGATTGCGAGTTTGTGCTCAAGAATCAATTAATGTGAACCACTGGTCAGAGACAGACCAAGCTTGTCAGGACAACCATAGCTCAAAGAAGTAACTTTAAAGGGTTGATTTCAATATTTTCTATTTCCAAGCGCCACTTGTGCCTTGTGTGTGGTAAAAATGCTAGGATGTTAACTAGAAAATAAAATATAAATCTCGTAAAAAAAAGTATCCCGTTTTGTGCAATTGTTTTTATTTTTGTTTGCAAATCGTGATTTTTGATGTGATATACGAACGTACATGTGTTCGTGCCATGGGCCTCTTGGTGTTTTTTTTAAGGCTGTTGCCTAAAAAGGAAACGCTTCGAACGTATGAATGGCGCCGGTTAAATGAGAAATTGTTCATCGACTTCCACGGATCATATTGTTTACTCAATATGATTTATTATGATAACAAAACCACTTCCTGAGCTGGCATGGTACGGAAACTGTGTAGATGTACAACGCTGAGATATCTTCAACAATTAAATTTCGCCTCTAGCCCATGGATCTGAAGGTAACAACAACATGAAAAATCACTCTTGAAATACCGGTAATCAGATATCAATTGGCAATGTGATGGGCAAAGCAACTATGTTCCCTTTTTGTCTCCTCGATCTGACAATGCGTCTAGTCTGGGATCCCCCATCTCAAAAGGTGCATGAGCAAATAGGCTACAGAATTTGGTGCGTTGGATGGGGGAAAACGATTAAAAAATATTCCCGTTGGGTAACAAAATAATCATATATCTCTACAGGACCGCTGGGGAAAAAAATCAAAGAAGACTTTACGAAAAAAGATCGAGGCGAATGACCTTTTTTTGTTACCATTTTACTCCATAAACAGGTCATTGTGCGCAAAGTCGTCGAGAAGTGGCGAAATACTTTGCATTTTTAAAGTCTATTATAAATGCGCCTATCAATTGTTTCCCCACCCCTCCCCGGGCTGCCCCACCCAAGACGTGGAGATTGTCACTTTTGAAGTGACGAAATCCCCACCCCACCCTCGGGCAAAATAAGTGACAATCGCCGACGTTACGCGGGGCGCACTAGTGATTGCCTTTCCATGTAGTACGCCAATGGTAACAATGTTTTTGACTTTGGGTGACCAAATTCCCTACCCGGGGCCATGAAAATGTTACCAAACCCGGACCTGGGGCAGCGGGGGGGGGGGGGGGGGATTTGATAGGCGCATGTTCATTCCATACTGCCGAAGAATGGTTAGACAAATTAAAGTTGGCTGAGGGATACCCCAAAATGTGACAGCTTTGTAAATTCTTTTGACTGGGTCAGTCAGTCAGTCGGTCTGTTTGGTCAGTTTGGAAGACAGTATAGGGTGGCACTTCAAGTTGATCGAAAAGGTGTCAGGACACTCTGTCTTGCACCTGTAGATTCTGACAATTCAGTCATCTTCAGCAACCTCATTGTCTTTGAGGGGCATGGTCCTTGTTATTTTAATCATGGAGGTAGAATAAGATGTTTTAATTCAGTTGCAATGAATGTCAAACGTCTATTGATGCGTGTCTAGTGGTACAAAAGCATCGGCCACACACGGCAAAGATGGCCGTAAAGGTGTAATACAAAGGATTTATACAGTACAGGGCGTCTCATCTAACGCCCCCCCCCCCCTCCAAGACTCGGTCATGACCCGCCCCTAAGGAAATGTTAATTTCACTGCCACTGTATGTGATGCTAGACGTCAACCAGTTAACGCCCGCATTATTATGTGATGACAAAAAAATAGAAACACTAGAGCTGGTAGACTCGCACACGTACTACACGCATTCCACTTTTGCAGATGTCACACCCCGTTGCACACGACTGCATTATTTAGGCCCATCGATAGCTAACTGCAAGGTCTTTCTGATTATCAGATTATTCTGTGCAGATTATACGGGGACTGAAAGCCAATTTCCACCACAGACACACCTGTGTGTGTTTGCGGCACAAGTTGCAAGCTTGTTTACCAAGTACACGGTTGTCTGCACACCACCACAGGCTTCAGCTTTTGTCGCCACCCGGCAGCTGAAGTGTTTGTATACCGTCGCCATGCCCAAACCGGACCGGCAGAGCTACAAGAAAGTCGGGGATAACGCAGAATCGGGATCCCAGCCCAACCCAGGTAGGAATGATTGAAAAGCTGGCAATTTTGCCAGTTTATCTCATGCTTTGTTCTTATTCCTCCATGGCTACAGGTACATAATTGCATAGAGATTTGACTAGAGTGGTCCTGATTGTCAGTAAAATAATTATTCTCGTGTATGCATGCATCATGTACATGTACTGTGTGTACATGTAGCATACCCGCACGCTTGATCTTCAATACAAATATTTGCCAAATGCTATCGAACAAGTGCTATGATTTGGCGCAGATTTTTATGGGGGTATAGGGCTGGGATCCAATATGGCTGTCACACAACCATGGAGCTATCATAACTCCATGTCGATGTCGCAACCATCATAATTACACGTCTGATGTAGCCCATTGCATCTTGCAAGGAAGATATCGATTTTAATTATAGACTCCTTGCTTGCATGTATCGAGGAGGGCATGATGCATGTGAGGCATTGTATTCATGCAGCGTCAAGGTCGACTGGTCCAGCAACTACCGTTTCAGCTGCATCCACATTGCACCCACAGTCCTTTTTTTTATTGTGAACGATAAACTGAGACCATCGACAAGTAATGCCTGCAGATTGGTGACCTTATTTTGTCATAGAACGTTTTATACACCAATTAATGCCATTATCAATATATACATCGATCATAGACTGGTGACCAATTCTTATATTTGTGGATTGTGAAAGATGGAGCCAGAGATCGATGATCGTCAGACAAAGTGCAGATTGAAAGAAAACATGAATCGAGGTCGAAGAAAAATTTCCCCAAAGACTTTGTACGCGCCCAACAAGTGGCATTTGGATGCTGCATTCCTCCCATGCCTTCACCACGGACCATGCCTTCACCAAACAACGGCCACCGCCCACACATGTGCGTGTGTGACCTGTAAGGCCTGCGAGTGAAACACTACCAACAACTGTGCAGAGGTCATGCTCAGAAAGCATTTAAATCGGTGATGGCGTTCCAAACTATTAGACCTTTCTTTGTAAACAAAATACATGTACATGTACATTGTGTAAATCATCCCCGTGTCACAGGTGAACCATCACCTGCCGAACTGTCCCTGTTGCCCCCATGTCTGTCGTCTGGGCATGCATGACGGTAAATAATTCCGCTCGTGTCGCCATTCTTTCAGAAAGGTTTGATCAGCTGTTCGTGTTGCGGACGCATTTTTCTTCATCGATACAAAACCAAATTATCACGTCATTATTTAAATTATACAAGGTGAGTCAAAAAAACGAAACCCAAATGTCGGGACTATTGTTTTATTAAAGTTCTTCAATGTAGCACTTTCAAAATCTAGGACATGAAAGCCCAATTCATAATCTTTCTTTTAGTACAAGAGTCTTTCCAATCACTCATGTACTTTTCAAGTTACGGAATTTTAAACACAACCACCGTTTTTAGGTTCTGTCCGAGGATCACAAAAAAAGGTGTGAGTTCTTTCAGCAAAGCGAAAACAATTCACACACATCCCTACGTGATTCGGTTTCGATTTGCTGAAAGAACACTGAACTTTTTTTGTGATCCGTGGACAGAACCTTAAAACGGTGGTTATGTTTAAAATTCTGTAACTTGAAAAGTACATGAGTGATTTGAATGATTCGTGTACTGAAAGAAAGCCTATGAATTGGGCTTTCATATCCTAGATTTTGGAAAGTGCTACATGCAGAACTTCACTGAAACAATGGTCCCAACATTTGGGTTTCGGTTTTTTTTACTAAACCTTTATCGCCTGGAAGTTTTAACGAACCTTGTTATATTAGACCGACTGCATTAGGCAGCCATCTTTGAGGTTGCAATGTTAATTCATTAACACCCAATGCAGGTCTGCTAATCATACGCATTCTTGTGATACCTTGCTCTATGACTAGAGCACACACCTATTCGAGATGATGGCTGTTTTGCAAACGATCTTTAGAACTGGATGTATTGAAAACGATCTTGAGAACTCGTACAAAAGGACCGGCATGTTTCCATTTGCGAAAGGTACCAATGATCCACATACTACTAAGCTGCTATTTCCTTTGAAATTATTTCGCTTTTTGATAGAGCCTAAATGTATCCCCTTCCCTGCATCTTATAGACTAGAAACACTGGTTACCGTTCAAATCGCTAGAAATTAATTATATAACCGTCCTGCTTGAAACCTTTAAATAAACATAAGATAAACGGACTTCGCGTCAGAGATTATTTTTAGGCCTGCGTCCTTGTAGGGTTTAAGGCATGTTGTAGATCTATTATGTGGTTGCACGGCCTATTTATTATGAAAAATATTTTTAAAGTTGCTAACGTGCTATATCTTTACAGGTGTTTCAATTTGAATAGAAATTACATGTGGCTTTTTGCCATTGCGACCTTCAAATCATAATGCACGTAAGCGCTTTCAGTGTACTTTTGAAATGTCAGATGCCGCGTATTGTTCGCGCGGTAATGTTCAATACGATTTCCATTTTTCCCGCCAGAATTGACATTAGAATCCACATTAGAATCCATGTACAGTATTAAGCAAAACGGGCAAGTTACACATTTTGAAAACAGATGATACGGTTTATAAAGGAGATTGATAGGCAACCAACTGAAGTCGTGTAAAACGTTACAATGGTTGACTTTGACAAGGGTAGTTTGTTGGTTTTGTTTGTATTCAGTTTTCTGAATTTCCTTTTCATTGTCCGTGCATTCGACTTTGAGAAACAGACAGCCAATTACGTTACCTGTGCAATCATTTAGGCAAGCATACCTTTTCTAACACTGACTTCAGGTACAGCTAATGTGATTGACGGTTAATTGTATCTGGTGCAGATGGCATTAAACTCAAAGTGAAATAAAATGGTGAATGTTGGAAATCGCCCTCTAAAAGCGAAAAAAAAGAGGCCTTGTAAACGAATCTGAATCGAGAATGGACATTTTATGACGAAAGGTGCTGCTCAATCACTTTTTTTGATTGAACTGAAATGGAATCGAATGCTCTGGTAGCGAAAATGAAACGCGTGTTCAGAGCGATTCTCAAATTCAGACGAAAACGAATGACCGATTTTCAGAAATGAATGAACATTAACTTTAGCAAATTGGCTGGGAAAACCTATATTTTCACAGGGTTCTGAAAATCAAAATTTAGCGGATGTGTCAAGAAAGACTTCGGGAAGTTGAACTCGACCTGCTGCTTGCTCAATATCCGACACCAAACACGCTTGCGATAAAATAAGTCATAGACTAAAACTTAAAAGACCGGCCAAAGGGCCCATGACATGAATTTTACTTGGGCTCATATTTTGTGCAATTTTTACTCTTAAATGTATGAAAACTGTTTGACGTCCATTTTTGGTTAACTTTTTTTTTAACATTTCAAATTGTCCATGCTTTCTATTCCTTGACAAATGATGGCGCTGTTGTTGTGATGTCATTTCAGGAAGACACTGTTCAGTCTAAGGGTTTTCCGATAAAATTCCGTTAAACCCCGAAGTTGCTCATCGATAACATTTGACGCAAGGATGATCTTAATTGACAAGGATTGCAGTAATTCAATGAAAATCACTAAAGACGAAATCAGATATGGACGTCGTCGTTCATTGCGTCACCGTTTACGAATATAAAGTTGCGATCGCATTTCCAGGCTTTCACAGAACAAGGAACTTCATTATGTGATGCGATCAAGCTAAATGAGTCGTTTGTCGACTCTGGTGGATTTTGTTTTTATTACATTACAGATTTGAAAAGAGCACAATCTCAGCATAACTGCTGTGAAAACCGCATGCTGGAACCATCTTCAAGACGGAACACCAAAAGATGTAATGAAGTGATGTGATGAAGTGGCCCTATTTTGGCCTGAATCTCCAAATGAAAATTCCCGACAAATGAAAGACCATTTGGCTTGATCGCATGTAACCAAACACAACGGCCCTCTTCCGAATGTGTGAGATGCTTTTGGCGTTTTGAAGCCGTCAGTTGCCAGACCACTGACAAAAAAAATGGCCCAACAAATGTTGGTACTTGCTCTATGCACTTGCCTTTATGTTTTCAAGTCAGTCCCCTACCCTTGACTAAAGGCTAGCCTCGCCAGCTAAGGTGACTCGTGCGTTCGTGGTGTAGTGCTATTATCAACAGCGCCCTCTTGCGGTTGATTTCGTCAATATTTCCTGAGCTACGTCGTTGATGGTGAACAATTTTTTTTCCCAGCACATTTCCGTATTTTGGATTGCCTGTCGCCCTGTTGGGCAAGGTGTCCCCAACTTATTAGAAATGCAGTGATTGAATCTCGGTATTTAAGAGAAGGAATGTGACAACTACATGTACTGAAAAGTACGCCCATCGCATTGAGAACTGATTTTAGGAAATTTGGTAACCGGCTCAAAGCCGCCGCAGGCCTATATGTCTCATAGGGTTCCTAGTCTTTGGTAATTGAATAAAAAGTCCCCCCCCCCTTGCTGAAAAATAATAATAATAGTTCATAATTCAAACAGGCGCGGACACTTGACGTCCTGCATTTTGATGATCAACCACGCCCTAATTCATGGAGACCATTTGGTTCCGTTGACTTGAACTGATCCATTAATGTTTAGATTTTACTGTATATGAAACGAACCCTTCGTAAAGGCACGATGCACAGTGTCAATGTAGTTTTCTTTTAAACAGAACTTGAACCTCAGTTTAGGGTTATTCCACAAACCAAATTGTCATTCAACCTCATGGTGTATAAAGGTCGTTAAGGTGATGGCGGTACCTTAGTCAGTGGTCTGTAACTTCTCATTAGATGTCACATAATATTTGATGTATTTTTGCAACAGTGGCTCGTTAATAAAAATGTCTGACATGCAGTGTTGTAGGTCTCGAGACCGGTCTCGGTCTTGGTCTCGGTCTTGGTCTCGAGACCACTTTTTGCCGGTCTCGGTCTCGGTCTCGGGAGCTGTGGTCTCGGTCTTGGTCTCGGTCTGGGTCCCCTTTTGTCTCGATATTTTGGCTGGTCTCGAGTCGAGACCAGCCAAAAAGTGAGGGGGGCGGAT